TGAGGCCAGCATTACCTTGATCCCCAAACCAAAGACCCCATCAAAAAGGAGAACTACAGACCAATATCCTTGATGAACATGGATGCAAAAATTCTCACCAAAATACTAGCCAATAGGATCTAACAGTACATTAAAAGGATTATTCACCACGACCAAGTGGGATTTATCCCTGGGCTGCAAGATTGGTTCAACATCTGCAAATCAATCAATGTGATACAATACATTAATAAAAGAAAGAACAAGAACCATATGATCCTCTCAATAGATGCAGAAAAAAGCATTTGATAAAGTACAGCATTCTTTCTTGATTAAAACTCTTCAGAGTGTAGGGATAGAGGGTACAAACCTCAATATCATAAAAGCCATCTATGAAAAACCCACAGCGAATATCATTCTCAATGGGGAAAAACTGACAGCTTTTCCCCTAAGGTCAGGAACACGGCAGGGATGTCCACTATCATCACTGCTATTCAGCATAGTACTAGAAGTCCTACCCTCAGCAATCAGACAACAAAAAGAAATAAAAGACATCCAAATCGTCAAAGAAGAAGTCAAACTCTAACTTTTTGCAGATGATATGATACTTTATGTGGAAAACCCAAAAGACTCTACCCCAAAAGTGCTAGAACTCATACAGGAATTCAGTAAAGTGGCAGGATATAAAATCAGTGCACAGAAATCAGTTGCATTTCTATACACCAACAACAAGACAGAAGAGGAGAAATTAAGGAGTCAATCCCATTTATAATTGCCACCCAAAACCATAAGATACCTAGGAATAAATCTAACCAAAGAGGCAAAGAATCTGTACTCAGAAAACTATAGAATACTCATGAAAGAAATGGAGGAAGACACAAAGAAATGGAAAAACATTCCATGCTTATGGATTGGAAGAACAAATATTGTTAAAACGTCTATGCTACCTAGAGCAAGCTATGCATTTAATGCAATCCCTATCAAAATACCATCTACTTTTTTCAAAGAAATGGAACAAATAATCCTAAAATTTGTATGGAACCAGAAAGACCCCATAATAGCCAGAGGAATGTTGAAAAAGCAAAGCAAAGCTGGTGGCATCACAATTCTGGACTTCAATCTCTATCACAAAGCTGTCGTCATCAAGACAGTATGGTACTGGCACAAAAACAGACACATAGATCAGTGGAACAGAATAGAGAGCCCGGAAATGGACCCTCAACACTATGCTCAACTAATCTTTGACAAAGCAGGAAGGAAAATCCAATGGAAAAAAGACAGTCGCTTCAATAAATGGTATTGGGAAAATTGGACAGCCACATGCAGAAGAATGAAACTGGACCATTGCCTTACACCACACACAAAAATAGACTCAAAATGGATGAAAGACCTAAATGTGAGACAGGAATCCATCAAAATCCTTGAGGAGAGCACAGGCAGCAACCTCTTCTGCCTCAACCACAGCAAATCCTTCCTAGACACATCGCCAAAGGCAAGGGAAGCAAGGGTAAAAATGAACTGCTGGGACTTGATCAAGATAAAACGCTTTTGCACAGGAAGGAAATAGTCAACAAAACCAAAAGACATCCAACAGAATGGGAGAAGATATTTGCAAATGACATATCAGATAAAGGGCTAGTATCCAAAATCTGTAAAGAACTTCTCAAACTCAACACCCAAAGAACAAATAATCCAATTAAGAAATGGGCAGAAGATATGAACAGACATTTCTGCAAAGAAGACGTCCAGGTCACCAACAGACACATGAAAAAGTGCTCAACATCACTTCACATCAGAGAAATCCAAATCAAAACCTAAATGAGATACCACCTCACACCAATCAGAATGGCTAAAATTAACAAGTCAGGAAACGACAGATGTTGGCGGGGATGTGGAGAAAGGGGAACCTCCTACACTGTTGATGGGAATGCAAGCTGGTGCAACCACTCTGGAAAACAGTATGGAGGTTCCTCAAAAAGCTGAAAATAGAGCTACCCTACTACCCAGCAATTGCACTACTGGGTATTTACCATAAAGATACAAATGTAGTGATCTGAAGGGGCACATGCACCCCAATGTTTATAGCAGCAGTGTCCACAATAGCCAAACTATGGAAAGAGCCTAGATGTCCATCAACAGATGAATGGATAAAGAAGATGTGGTATATATATATATATATATATATATATATATATATACACATACATACACAATGGAATATTATGCAGCCATCAGAAAGATGAAGTCTTGCCTTTTGTAACTACATGGATGGAACTTTGAAATAAGCGAAATAAGTCAATCAGAGAAAGACAAGTATCATATGATCTCACTGATATGAGGAATTTTAGAAACAAGACAGAGGATTGTAGGGGAAAGGAGAGAATAATGAAAGAAGACAAAACCAGAGAGGGAGACAAACCATAAGAGACTCTTAACCTCAGGAAACAAACAGAGGGTTGCTGGAGTGGTGGGGGTGGGAGGGATGGGGTGGCTGGGTGATGGACATTGGGGAGGGTATGTTCTATGGTGAGCGCTGTGGATTGTGTAAGACTGATGAATCACAGACCTGTACCTGTGAAACAAATAATACATTAGATGTTAGTTAAAAAAAAAAAAATTAAATGCTCTTTTACCTACTAACATAAGAAATTTTAAAAATATTTAAAATGCATCTTTTCATTCTTAAATTTTTTTTGCTTTATTCAGACTGAAAACAAAAGACATGCTTTCTTTTTATCATTTTAAAAGGATTTCTGGGGCACCCTGCTGCCTCATTTGGTGGAGCACACAACTCTTGGTCTCAGGGTTGTGAGTTCAAGTCCCACGCTGAGGGTAGAGCTTACTTAAAAATAAAACCTTTAGGGCACCTGGGTGGCTCCCACTCCCCCCACTTGTGTTCCCTCTCTTGCTGTGTCTCTCTCTGTCAAATAAATAAATAAGATATTTTTAAAAAAAGAAAATCTTTAAAAAATAAAAAGTAGGGGCATCTGGGTGGCTCCAGCAGTTGGGCATCCAACTCTTGGTTTTGGCTCAGGTCATGATCTTGGGTTCATGAGATCAAGCCATGTGGGGCTCCACGCTGAGCAGGGAGTCTGCTTCTCTTCTTCTGCCCCTCCCCCCACTTGTGTGCTCTCTCACTCTCTCTAAAATAAATGGATAAATCTTTTAATAAAAATAAAAAATAAATAAAAGGACGTCTCAATTTAAAAAAAAAATATTTGAGGGAGAAAGATCATGAGCTGGGGAGAGGGGCAGAGGGAGAAGCAGGCTCCCTACTGAGCAGGGAGGCTGTGGCTGGGCCACATCCCAGATCCCTGGGAACATGACCTGAGCTGAAGGCACATGCTTAACCCACTGAGCTACCCAGGTACCCCAGAGCTTCTCAGTTTTTTAACTCTGATCTGATGAAAACATTTGACAAGCACTTCTGTAAAACTGGGTTACCTCAGTAGTGTATGAACCAGTCTTTAAAATCTTTAAATTTTGTAAATGATTCATATTGAGTCCTGAAATTTGTAATTATTATGAAGTAATGATAAATGAATTATTTTGACAGCCAATAGGTCTTCAGCTGCTTATGATTCATTCTTTTGATGACCATTTTTAAAAATTTATTTTATTTTTTAGAGAGAGAAAAGCACACATGTGAGCAGGGGATGCAGTAGGGAAAGGGGCAGAGGAGAGAGAGAGAATCTTAAGCAGCCTCCATGCCCAGCATGGAGCCCCACACAGGGCTGATCTCACAACCATGAGATCACAACCTGAGCCGAAATCAAGAGTCAGACGCTCAACCAATTGAGCCAGGCAGGCACCTCTGATGACTATTTTTTTTAAAGATTTTATTTATTTATTTGAGAGAGAATGAGAGAGAGCGAGCACAAGAGGGGGGAGGTTCAGAGGGAGAAGGAGACTCCCTGCTGAGCAGGGAGCCCAATACGGGACTTGATCCTGGGACTCCAGGATCATGACCTGAGCTGAAGGCAGTCACTTAACCAACCAACTGAGCCACCTACGTGCCCCTCCAATGACTATTTTAAAAAGGAATGGCCTGCTATATCCTTTTTAATTTTAGCAATATTAAAGTAAAATTTAATATATATTAATTAAAGTTATAAATTATATTCAGTTACATTTTCTTTGAGCTTTGTTATCCTAAATTACTTTTTTACAAAGAGGTGTATGTAAGTGTGTTTTCTTATCTCTGATGCTCCCACTGTTGTCTTTCAAGTCGTCTCTTGACGACTGCCTGCCTGCAATACGCAGTGTAGCGCGGTTCACATACATTTTACTTCTCAAAAGCTGGGTCTTGGGCTAGGGGTAAGGAGAGAATTTGCTTTATCTGGAATATAGTTACAAATGTTATGAGGATGTTACTGGAGTATTTAAATAGATGTAGCTTTTATGAAATAGCATCTTCACAGCCTCAAGCCCTAATGAAAAGTAATTAAGAGACATTTACAGGTAGTTGTTCAGCTGTTGACTGGGCTATCTAGAAAGAAGCTGTCGGCACATACTGTCATAATTGCTTGACAATTCATTCACCTTTTTTTTTAGGTTACACTAATTTCTCCTCTAATTTCATATGCTCCCTCTTTCAACCCTAGTCTTTCAGTAAAATTTGAGTTTGTTGTACTACTAATTATAACCAGCCTTATAGACTCCCTGGGACAATGCCGTATTTCTTCTATTCTTGTTCCTCCTCTGCCAAAACCCACCTCATGATGCAAAATTCATTTGAATGTGGAAAGTATCCATACTTCGCAGGTAGCTCTGTATCAGTCAGCTCTATTTAACTTTAGCTTCTGTCCCTTTGCAAAGAATAAGACCTTAATTCTGAATTTAATGAGATGGGTTTCTCCCTTTCTGGTCAACCATGTGAATAAGTCTACTTTTTGAAATTACTGTAAAATCATCAAAAGTTGGTTGTTACTTTTTCACTTGTTGGTTTCTAATCATTTTACGTAATGAGGCATTTTCATGACAGTTCTTAGTTTTCTGGTTCAAAATAAACTCTTGTGTGTTAGGTACACTCCCTGCAGTTACAGAGGAATGGAAGAGAGACTACCTCACGGCAGCATGTCACGACTGACGGATCACTCGAGGCACAGTAGCTCTCATCGGCTCAATGAACAGTCCCGACATAGCAGCATCAGAGACCTCAGTAATAATCCCATGACTCACATCACCCACGGTACCAGCATGAATCGGGTTATTGAAGAAGATGGAACCAGTGCTTAAATTGTCCGAAGGTGGAAAACTTGCGCTATTTAAAAAGCAGATTTTATTCTTTGCCTTTGCATGACTGATTGCTGTAACTCACTGTTATCATGCTTTCAGTCAGGTGCAGATTGTGTCCATTGGAAAAGTAAACTTTTGCTTTTTATATTGCATCAAACTTGGAACATCAAGGCATCAAAAATGCTAATAATTATATCATCACATAAATAATTCTTATTTCTAGGTTATGAAGAGATAATTATTTGTCTGGTAAGCATTTTTATAAACCCACTTATTTTATATTTAGAAAAACCCTAAATGTGTGGTGACTGCTTTGTAGTGAACTTTCATATGATATCAGCTAGTTGTGAGATAACATTCTGGTAGTTGTATTAATAAAACAAAATTTCAGAATTAAGGAAATTTTCTATGCAAGGCTTATTTCTCAAATGAATAGTTGGACTTTGTAGTTTTCTTTCCACTAAGTGAAGAAGAACTATGTTTTTAAACTGTCAGAGAATTTGATAAATCAGCAAGGGTATTTTAGCTAATAGGATATAAGATCAGTGGAAGAATCTGAATAGTCTACTGAATGCTCTTTAAAAATTCTGTCAAAATAATCTTCATCCAGAGACATACAGGATTAGGTTTCACAATGGAATAAAAGGCGGAGATGGACATTTTTTCTCTATAATTGTGCTCTTTATTACTTTTGTAAATATTACTTTTACTGGCTATGTTTTTATAACTTAACCATATGCATGGTGGAAGTTTAATTTGTAGTCATCTTTTCCCATGTAGTAGTATTGATTCACAGAGAACTTCATGTTCAAATCTGTTCCATGGAGGCATGTAATAAGATAAACATCACACATTATAAACATTTTTGTGGGAATCACAATTACAAAATGGCAAAATGTTTTCTCTATATTCTTTGTTGTATTTTTCTACAGTGAGATGTGATCTTGCCAAAGCCACCAGATCTTGGTACCCAGGCCCCTCCTATCAGTGACTTGATTGTCTGCATTTGCATTGCCCAGTAGCCATTAGGCTACAGCTTTTTGCCCCACGTTCTTGTTTTCAGATTCTGGGTTGTTTTTTTTTTACAGTTGAAATATATATAACCTAAGTCCAAAGTGGTGATTGAGGTATTTGAAAATCACTGTAACTAAATGAAGCATGATTAGTCTTGCTGTGAAGTATAATATTTTAGTCTTACCAATATCAATTCAAAAATGTTTGACATTTTGTCATGTACTGTTTAAATCAATTTACAATAAAAACTACAAACTTTATTAGGCATGAAATTGCTTAGAAGGGAAAGAAAAATTGTGGAAAATGCTGGATGTGTTTTATAGAAAAGCGTATTTAAACAAGTGGTCCTCAGCCCTGACTATAGATAAGAATCACTTGCAGAACCTCTGATGCTCACCACCTTCCTCTTATTCAGAGGAGAATTAGTAGTTTTTTTTAAAAAGCTTTCTAGGTGATTCCAATCTGCAGCCGGGCTACAGGCTGTTTCAAATATGATAATGAGCTGATGGCATCATATTATATCACATAAATATCTAGCTGGACTCAGTGTTGTGCTTTTGTATCATTATCTGATATACATCTGTTCTTCGTTTTATTGTCCATTATAAATGTGGAATTTGGGGCCCCACCCCTAAAGATTCATATTCAGTAAGTAAAGTCAAATTTTAAAGTCTGTAGTTCTAAAAATACTACAGGTGATTCTTAATGCAGGTAATCCAAGAATCACACTTTGGAAAATATTCCAAGACTCTAGAGAGGCCTGGCTTTGTCACATGCCAGTTTTGTCACCTTTAACAAGTAAACTTCTCTGAGCCTCAGTTCCCTTGTTTATAAAAGAAGATAGAAAATAAGTACCTACCTCACAAAGTTGTCAAATGGGGATCACATGAAAAAATCATATGAAAGCTTTCTGAAAACTGTAAAGCATTATGAAATATAAGGGGTTAAGATTATTAAGGATTTAAGAGATTTGTTTGAGGGCTACTATAGTACATTCCTTGACATGTGTTTAATTCATGTGTACTTTTTTCTCTCCTTTAAAATAAAAAATACCAAGAAATTAGGTTTTGAAAAAAAGCCTTTCATCAAGTACAAAAATCAGTTTTCTGATAATTTGTATATCATGTTTTTTCAAAATACATATATCTTATTGTTTATGATGTGCTCTTTATAGAAAATATTTGAACATTTAGCCCCAAAGCATTTTTCTTTTTCCTCTGTCTTCATCGTCTTTCTCCTTGGAACTGGAGTTAGTACTGGATAGGCAGAATCTAAATTCCCTCATAACTGACAATTAGTAAACCTTTCCTCTGAAGGCCAAATTTACAACAACTCATTTATACAGTAACTTAGTAATTCATAAGGCTTTTTTTCTGAGAATCTCCCCTGAGAACAGCATGAGAGGACCAAAACAAACATTCAGAAACAAAAATAAGAAGTTAAAATAGAAGGTACCAGTTTGAGCTCAAAGATGTCATCCATCGCCATCTGCATTATATTATCAATTGCCAAAATGTTAATTGATTTTCTTGTATAAGTAGGCCAAGTGTAGACAGTTATGAAAATCTTAACTTTGTACTCCCTGTTTTTTATATATGCATTTTACCTTCTTTGTTAAACTCACTGTCAGCATATATGTAAATGCTATGTTGATATTTCAGTTACTTTAAGTGTCTTAATTTTGCTCCACAAAATTTATTTAATATCATCAGTGCATTGTTTTAGATAACAGTATTTAGTTTGGGTCATGTTATTCATCAAACTGGTGCTTTAAATTAAGAATTTTTTTTAAGAAACAGCTAAAGAACTATGGCAAACCGGCAATTTCAAAGTCTCAGTTCCCTTAAACCAACTTGAACAAGTTGGGACAGCTTTCTTACCATCTGTTTAACTTTAATTTGTGTTTTGATTGGCATGTGATAATGTTTAGTATTTTATTTATACAGCTGACAACTGAGAAAATAATAGTTCTCTCTAAAATGTTAATATATAATCAAGAGGCTTTCAAAAAGTACTTCGATTTCACCAATACTGTTTAATTTGTTCAATAATTAAAGCAAAAGATAATATTAAGCTCAAAACAATAATTGGTTTCAAAGAAGAATTGATTAATAACTACAAAGTGCTTAGTATATAGTAGGTTTTTCAATATTTATGAATGAACAACACTTGTCATAAAACTCACTTTTAGCCTTAGTAGTGAGATTCTCACCTCAAAGGAATTTGAAGGATCTAAATTTAAATTGAGTGAAATGAAGTCTCTCCTTTACCAGAATAACATGTGGCAAGTAGTAAATACGTAACTTGCACAAGAAATATATACACAAACTTGTACCAACACTTTATTAATTTTAAAAGGTGAATAGCAATTCTTAGAAGTATTTAAGCTCTTGTTGGTTTTATGTTAAGTTAGATCTTTGTATACCAGTTGGGTAAATGAACATTCAAGCAAACCTTTATTAGTAATGATTTTCAGCTTCTTAGAGCAAATGTATGAAAATTCTAAGAATCTCTTTAATTTAGAAAAAATTTACTACATTTTAGCCTACCTCATTAGTTTCTTTGTGATAAGAGCTGGATATAACAAGTTGTAACTATCTTGGTTGAGGCTATATCCCTGTGATATAAAAGGAACTACTTAAAAAATTTTTTTAGTGGATCGTTGGCCAGAGCTTAGAAAACAGTAACATACCAAAATTTAATTATGATGATATTTATACTGCTTTTGACATGCCAAAGCTATATTTACATATTATCACTTGGATGACTTACATAGTCTAGTGCAGTGAAAATTCCATTAGGCTTGGAATTCAAAGACCCATAATTATGATGTGAGCTGGACAGGTCATTTAGTCTCCCATTTCTTCAGTATAAAATGAGGATAAGGTAATTTTTGGTCCCAAAACCTACCTCACTGGACTTTGGTTGTAAGGATCAAATGAGATAACATATGTTATCGTGCTCTGTAACCTTTAAATTGCTCTACGGATATTATTTGTTTTTGTTAGAACTTGGGGGTTATAGAAAACAAGGATATATGGTCTTCAGTAGTATTTAGCAGCAACAACAAAGTAGGCCATTAGACCAGTATTCGTTTGGTATAATCTTTGAGTCAACAATTCAGTTAACCTTTTAAAAATGAGGTTCTTTTTCAAGAGTAGCTATGCCCTTAAACTGTGTTTGCTGTTTAATATATGTATACCCCAGAGCATGATTTCAAATTTATACAGTTAAATTTGTAGGTCACTCTCAACAGAAATTTGGGGATCTCCATTATATTTTTCTTTTGATATGGAATTATATAAATTGACTCCATTGAAACTTATAAGAAAAATATATATAAACAGTATAGACCCTATAACTTTTTTTCCTTTGAGGACTTTCATGTGCCTAACTCTTTCTGATTAAGAACAAATTTTAAAAAGTTAATAACCATAACTTGATATTCATCATGGCAAAACTTTAAATTTTAAGTTGTAACATTATCTTAATTGTATGTTTGTATATATAATTTTTTAAACCTACATAAAGTAAGGATTTTGCCATTCTTTTCCACACATCAACACACAAAAGAGCATTTTTATGGAACCTGGATTTACAAAGGAATTCATGATTCTTCTAAACTTCTTTTATGCCTTTTCAGATTAAAATAAAAAATGTTCGTATTCAATTCATTTGTTTTCCAGTAGCCGCATTTATACATTATTCTTATGTCATTTCTGTTTTATATGAAAGGAATTACATTGACATCTCTTCATAATTTAGTTTTTTTTGTTCCAGTGATATGAGAGGGAAAGAAATAGGACTAAGCAACCTTACCCTTCATCTGACTGTACACAGTCTCCTGGGATTTTTTTCTAGTTTAATTTTAACCCAAATTTCTTTAATAGTCAAACTGACATAGGAGTATAATTTTCTCCCAAGATCCAAAATCTTCTAGGAAAGAAAATGTTACGGTCCACCTAAAACCAGCTATTTCTTAGACA